AGAAAGCCTCATCTTTCTCCCGCGGAACAGCTGGTAGTTTTGAACTGCTGACCTTGAGATTCGCAGCCCGCTTCTTAACCACTACGCTACCAGGGCTCCTCCCTCTTTATGGGTCACTCCTTACTTATGGTTCTGTTCCAACGACTCTGTCATAAGTCACCTATGCTGTACATTGAATACCTTTTTTTAAAGAAGTTTTATTACTGACTTTTATTATCAGTACTTTTATAAATCTTCAGTTTTGAACAGTAAAATATAAAATTCAAAATCTGAAAGTAAACAACTGAGAATGATAAAATCATCAAATTACATTCCGTAACGTCTAACCAACGACAAAATGTACAAGAAATACAAAGACGGTCGTCAGTGCAGTACGCTGAAATGCAAGTAAGTTGAGAGCTACCTTTATTTTGCCATGTCCAGTTTAACAGTCTCTATTTCCATAAGTCAGTTTAACATAGTTACATTTACTGGGACTATGTTATATTGGAGCTCCTGGTGTGGCGCTGTAGGATCAGCACTGGACTGCCAACCATAAGGTCGGCAGTTCAAACCCACCAGCTGCTCCTCAGAAACCCTGTACAAGGTTACTGTGAGTCAGAACTGACCAAACAGCACTTAAGAAAACAAGAGGCCATAATTTGGACTTTTTCTTTCATTTTGTGTTCTCTGTTCATTAAGCTTTTCTTCTTTCTTCACCATTCCTCTCTCTATTGGATAAACTGTCCCTAATTCCCTGTCTTTCTGGTTGAGAAATTATCAAGTGTATTATGGCAATAGTTTTTTAACTTGTCTTTTGCTACATTTACATTTTTGACATACATAGTCCTGGTGTGGCACTGTGGGTTAATGTGCTGGACTGCAGAGTCATTTGAACCACAAGGTTGATGGTTCAAGCTCAAGTTCAGCAGCTGCTCCTCAGAAACCCTCTCGCATCTTAGCAATAGAACAGCATACAACTTATAGCAATACACTTTTTGTATATTGAACAATCGTATTCGTATTCCTGGGACAAATTGACTTTATTTTACTGATAGGACTTCAAAAAGATTGTGAAAAAATGCCATTATCTTGGAATTCCATTTTTCTATGAACTTTTTGAAGCCCCTTATTGAAAAAAATGTAAGAAATCCCGTGCCCTTACAGATGAACACAGACAGCAAGAGATGCTTATATTTATTCAAATGTCATACATACAATAGAGAGATTTCATTTACATCAGCAGTAAAAATAAAAAAAAGTAACAGCGAATGAAATGTCAGTTTTTAAAGTGCCTTTATGAGGAAAAGATGACAAAAAAGTAATGGTAAATACCATGTTGAGATGAAAGGAACCGTATCTGAACAATATATTAAGTAAATTATGTTACACATTGTTTTTCAAATAACTTATACACCAGAAGAAAAGCTAGACAGTCAGCACGTTTTCTAGAGAGGTCTGCTTGCAGTGATCTTATATACCACAGGGGGGCGCTTGTGCGCTCTTACTCAGGTGGGTTTACCTTGGAAACATCATAGGGAAAAACAGCCTTGGTTGGCTCCAGACTGCATGAAAATTTATGGAGACAACTGTAAAGTGACACATTTTTCAGCAGCGTGAAGACTATAAATACATCCTTTACATCAAGATAGATATATACACACACATAAACATATATACATACATATAAAAATATCGGCCCCAAACCAGATACAGAAAGTGTTTAGAAAGGAAAGAATTTGTTTCTGAAGTACACGAACACACAAAGGTAAGATGGATGTTTTCTTTCCAGTTCTGCCTTGATGTGAATAAAATAAACTCTCCACATTTATGTTTATGGAGTCAAGGTGATTATCATAGAGCACACGGACAGGTAAGAAGCTTTGATTCTGTCAGCAGAAGAAAGGTAGAGATGGAAAGTGTACTGCCTGCATCTTACAAAGCGGACTAGGAAGGATTCACAGGTACTAACTAATTAAGCCATATTTGACAGCATTGCTTCCAATGATAACCCTGCAAAAATTGCATCATTATATTTGCTTTAAAAACAATAAAAATATCCTAATTCAGTGAAGCTCTTTAAAAAAAGTGAGTCCCCCCACCCCTTTTTTTTGTGTGTAGAAAAGAAGATTAATTGTTTAAATCATAGTTTAAATTTCCTTTTGAAAATGAAACTTCTACATGTAAAGGAAGTTCCTGGGTTTCTAAGTGCTTTGGGCACAGAAACCCTGCCAGGTTCCATCAAAGGAGGGTTTTCCATTCACCTGTGACCAGGTTCACAAGCGCCTTGGGGAAGAATGGCGTCACTTTCCACGCAAAAGTCTCCCCAAATCACTCAGTGGTATAAACAGCATGTTTCAATGTAAACCCCAGTAACAAAAAAATAGTCTTATATCAAATACAGTATCAAATCGTCATCTTATGTAAACACAGTGATTCTTGGTAAAGATTAGAGGCCAAGGTACCACAAAAGATGGCCACGGGATTCATCCCTGTTTTAAAAAAAAGACTTGTAAAAGACAAAAGAGTACCCCCCATGCCCACCCCCATCCCTCTCTCCTCAAGCTGTCAGTAAATCACTCACTTCTTTTGGGAGCAGCTTCAAATGTATGCATATTCTTGCAGAAAGCACCATACCAGAGAGATCAGAAAACCAAAAGGTAGATGGCTGGAATAAAGTCTCATTCCCAGTGGCTTGGAAAGAGATACCACCACCTGCTGCATCTGCCTGGAAGAGTCCAGAAAGGGATGTCTGGGGGGAGCAGGCTTTCTCTCCTGCGTTCCCATCCGTCCCGAGGAACCTTTGGTGTATAGTGGGTATGGTCATCCTGTGGAAACCACCACCAGGGGCTGGAGAGGGAGTTCCGGCATGTAGAACCTTCTGGAACCTTTCCTTCTCTGACCGCTTCCTGCATCTTGAGGTTCCCTAACAGCCAGGCAGTTCTTCATTCAGACCTTCCAGGACTCTTTTAGTCTTCAGGATTTCTTGTAAAAGCACCATTCCCTCACCAAACTTAGCAAGCCCAAGCAAAAGAAAACTTAAAAGATACTCGCATGCTGGTCTACTGATCTTCGGCTCCCAGAGTTTGCTCATGAGTCCTCAGTACAGGAAGCAACCCCAGGTCTCAGCTGCTAACCTTTGAGGTCTGACAAGGTGATATTGCAACTTTCACTACAGCTGGAGGAGTTGCTCAGCAAGGCAGAGCCCGTGCCTGACTCTGGAGAAGGAGAGGAAAACATCAGATCAAGTGATTGGTTTCAACTGATAGTTATTTTCTAAACAATTAACACTCCTTTTTTCTTTCTTTTGAGAGTCCCTGGTTGCTGTGAATGGTTAAGCACTCGACTAATTGAAAGGCTGGCGGTTCGAATTCACCCAGAGGTACCTCAAAAGAAAGGCCTGTGTCCTACTTCTGGACAACTGGGGGAGCAGAGTTCTGTGACACACAGATGTGGGATGTGACAACGGACAGGTCCCAGTGAAGGCAGCGTGGTGTGTGGGCTCTTACCTGAACTGCTCAGGCACTGGGCTGATTTGGATTTGCCGATGAGTGTTGACAGGCTGCTGGCCGGCACCCACCCCTCTTTACTGGTGGTCAGGTTCCTAACATACCTGGAAGGGGTGTGGGTGTCAAATGGCTCTAGTCTGTGTATGCCACAGATCTCAGATGTAAGCGGACTGTGGGGGCCTCTTACCATAGCCCCTCGTTGGCTTCATGTAAAACCTCTACCAAGTCCCCGCTCTTCACTGCAAGGGCCTCGGGGCCTGCTGGTTCCTGATCAGCCACAACTGTGTATTTACCCGGAACCTGAATGGGAGAAGGATGACGAGAAAGGGATGTGAGCAGCCACAGCCTCAGGAACACCGCTCCGTCTCCCCACCCGCTAGCCCTCACCCTGCTGGAAGACCACAAACAGGCAGAAACCACACCAGTGTGGACGTCAGTTTGGTGACAAGGAAAGAAAATGAGTGCATCCTTAAGGTACTGTTTACATCTTACTGGTAAGATTATCTGCTTTAGCTTGGTAAGGTCTTTGGTGGCAATGGTGGTGGTACCGTGGAGTCGGTTCCAACTCATAGTGACCCTGTATAGGGTTTCTGAGGCTGTAAAACAGGAGCACAAAGTCTTATCTTTCTCCTGCGGAATGAGTGGTAGTTTCAAACTGCTGACCTTGAGGTGAGCAGTCCAACTCATAACCACTATACTACCAGAGTTCCTTTAAGGTCTTTAGGGCATAGCAAGATGTTGTTTTTAGGTGCTGTCGAGTCGATTCCAACCCATTGCGGCCCTGCATAGGGTTTCCGAGAAGCAGCTGGCGAGCTTGAACCACTGACCTTGCAGTTCAAATGACTTTACAGTCTGACGCATTAGCCCATTAGCCCACAGCGCCACACCAGAACTTAAGCCTCATGTTATCACCATGGTGAAAAAACAAAGAACCAATCTATAAAACTTTGTTCAGCAGTAAACCAAAAAAAACCCTCTGCTGGTAAGTTGGTTCCAATTCAAGGCAAACCCATGTGTGACAGAGTACCCCATGCCATAGGATTTGGGGGCTATAGCTTGCTCCTTAGAAACCCCACACATGGTTGATAAGAGTCGGAACTGACTCCGTGACATTTAACAACAATCTCTAAGGAAGCAGATTAGATTAGAATTCTTCTGTGGTACCGTCGGTGGATTCAAAGTGCCAACCTTAGATTAGTAGTTAAGGAGCTCTGGTAGCGTAGTGGTTACGAGTTGGACTGCTAACCTCAAGTTCAGAAGTTCAAAACTACCAGCCCTTCTGTGGAAGAAAGATGAGGCTTTCTGCTCCCGTCAAGTTTTGCAGCCTCAGAAACTCTATGCAGTGTCACCATGGTTGGAGATTAGGAGTCCTGGTGTGGCACTGTGGGTTAATGTGCTAGACTGCAAGTCCGGTTTGAACTGCAAGGTGGGCAGTTCAAGCTCACCAGCCGCTCCTTAGAAACACTATACAGGGATGCTCTGGGTTGCAACCGACGTGACGGCACAACAACCGATTAGTAGTTGAGCACAAACCATCTTTGCCACCCAAGGGCCTCACCTTTTATCAGCACTACACTGTTCAGTGGGCATTGCCTCTCCTGGTCTGTCCACCCCTACCTTCCTGCCCTCCCCCCACTCCTACTTGGTTCCCACTACACCACACTCCATGCTGGTCTCTAAACACTCAAACATACCCTCTTCTGCCCCAGGACCTTTGCACTTCTTGTCCCTTTGCCTAGAATGTTCCTTCCCTCCTTCAGTGAGGTCTTCCTCAGCCATTCATCCAAAACGGCAGCCCCTACCCTCCACAATAAGGAGTTCTGTAGCGTAGGGGTTAAGAGTCAGGCTACTAACCATTAGGTCAGCAGTTCAAAACCACCAGCTGTTCTGCAGGAGAAAGATGAGGCTTTCTGCTCCTGTAAAGATGTACAGCCCTGGAAACCCTGTACAGGGTCACTATGAGTTAGTGGTGGTTATGTGCCACTAACTCCTCCCTGTTTTATTTTTATCCCTAGGCAGCGATCATAAGTTAACATACGCTGTATCTGACTGTTTCTTATTACCTCCCTATGGTAGAGTTTTGGCTTTCTGCTTCCATAAAGATTGATAACCTTGGAAACCCTATATAGGGTTGTTATGAGTCAGAACCAACTTGATGGCCCCTAACAACAACAACCTGTATTCTCTCCTCCAGGTTTTATCTCCCCACTAGGCAGCCACCATCGTTGAAGGGACTAAGAGAAAGTTTAGTCTGCTCTGCTCCTTGCTTTATCTGCATGGTACGTAGTGAGTATTTCCTGACATGGTTAATGGCATAAAACAACTGACTTACGGTTCAGCAGCCTCGGTTACAGACGGAAAAGTTTAATGATGATGATTGGAGCCCCAACCCCAGGCACTGAGCTGGGCTTGAGACACACATTATCTCATTCTGTCTTCACTACTATTCAGAGGTTTAGGATTGGAAGACAATGTGTGGGGTGGCGCTGTCCGTTAATGCACTGGACAGCAAAGTTGGTTTGAACCCTAAGGTCGGGACTTCATGCTCACCAACTACCCCTCGGAAACCCTATACAGTCCCTATGGGTGGGAACTGACTGGATGTCACTAAACAACAAAAAATGGTTAGGACTCCTGGTGTGGTGCTGTAGGATCAGCACTGGACTGTGGACCACAAGGTTGGAAGTTCAAACCCACCAGCTGTTCTTTGAAAACCCTGTACAGGGTCACTATGTCAGGGAACTGACTCGACAGCACATAACAAATGGTTAACTCACTCAACTAACTGAAAGATTGGAGGTTCAAATCCATTCGGGGGCACCTTGTAAAAAAAGTCTACTTCTGAAAAATTGGCCATTAAAAACGCACAGTTCTACTCTGATATACACAGGGGCAACATGAGTGGGATCAACTTATGAAACATCATCCACTGAGAACCCTGTGGAGCACAGTTCTACTCTGACACCCACGGGGCACCTTGAGTGGAATCTACTTATGAAACATCATCCACTGAGAACCCTGTGAAGCACAGTTCTACTCTGACACGCACGGGGCACCATGTGTGGAATCTACTTATGAAATATCATCCACTGAGAATCCTGTGGAGCACAGTTCTACTCTGACACACAAGGGAAACCATGAGTGAAATCAACTTATGAAACATCATCCCACTGAGAACCTTGTGGGCACAGTTCTACTCTGACATGCACGGGGCACCATGAGTGGGATCT